CAAATACTGGTCTGTGTGGATGGGTTTGCAGTACATCTCGGTTTGCAAATGTCCTCCATCAGGAACTGAGACCTCACAGTCCAAGAAAGCCAGCCTGACATTTTTCATATCTTCTTGTGTGAACTGTATATATTTATCCACAGAGTTGATGTGATCAGTAAAATGTAAAACGTCCCCTTCCTGTTTTTTTTGCTTTGTTTTTTGAATGTCCAGAAAACCAGATTTAACTTTTTTAGATTTTTCTACCTGGATTATTGAGCATGCATCAGGATATTTTGAACCAATTTGGCCAGGATTGTCTCAAACTAGTTAGAGAGTTTGCCCTCTTCCTTGCTGTTTTCTCAAACTACAGGAACCACTTGCGATTCATCCTCGGATGCAGACAAAGTAGCATCGTTCCCAAGAGCCTGGAACTGAAATGTTATGTCAGCGGGCATCTGGCAAGCAAGATCCTTCAGAAGACCCAGACCCAGCTGCTGAATGAACGGGTGAGACAGACCAATTTTACTATTGAGGCCTTAAAGGCCAAAGAAGAGCACATTAGACAAAAACTAACAATGTGCCTAGATCAGACCAAACTTCAGCAAGTGATGGACTTTAAAGATCAGGCACGCTTAGCTTGTCAAGTCCATGACCCGACAACAAAACAAGTTTAATTTACTGATAACTCATCAACACCATTTCAATTCCAATAACAACACATTCAGTGTCAGTCAAGACTCCTGTAGACAGTTACTTGCCAGGGAAACGGAAAAGGTGGGTAAAGAATTTATCTGACAGACAGCTCACCCAGCCGGAGACAGAGATTCTTGCCAGGGGACTGATCTTTGCGGTTGCACCAAGAAGAATTCCTCTGGTGGAGATGATCACAGCTACAGAATCAGCCATCTGCAACAAAATTAAAGAGTGTAAAGCAGAACAACTTAGAATCAAAGTGTCAGCATGCCTAAGCAATGCCAAACCACCACCTTCCAACATCTGTAGAGAGGAGAGGGATACTCTCACCCCTAATTCCAAGGACAAAAACATCATTCTTCCAGCAGACAGAGGAAGGTGCACAGTGATTTTGAACCAGTAAGACTATCATGAGAAAGTTATGACACTCCTTAGTGACGTAACCACTTATGAGCCACTGAAAAGAAATCCAGGAAGTGTTTACAAGAAGAAGTTGATAGATTGCCTGAAAAATTTGAAGCAGGACAAGGCTATTGACCGTATTTTGTACCACAGACTGTACCCAGGGGAGGCCACGCCTAATCTGTATGGTTTACCTAAAATCTACAAACAAGGTGTACCTTTAAGACCTATTGTTAGCATGATTAACTCTGTCACTTACAATGTTTCCAAATATCTGGCGTCTGTACTCATCCCTTTAGTTGGCAGCTCAGCACACCATATACAGAACACCATGGACTTTGTGGATAAGGTGAGGGATGTCATCATGGAGACAGATGAAACAATGGTCTCTTTTGATGTCACATCACTCTTTATGTGCATTCCTATTGATAAGGCAGTAGAGGTGGTCAGTTTAAGGTTAAAATCAGACACCACTCTGAGCAGCAGGACCACTCTTTCCACAGAAGAACTGTCAACTCTTGAAACTGTGCCTGCAGTCAACCTACTTCACATATGGGGAGCAATATTATAGGCAGAAACATGAGTGTGCTATGGGGTCTCCAGTTTCTCCTATTATAGGCAGAAACATGAGTGTGTTATGGGGTCTCCAGTTTCTCCTATTGTGGCCAACTTGTTTTTTTTTTTCTCCTTCTATTCTCTGAAGGAACAGACGTGTTCCCCCCCCCACACACACACACACACACCTGCTTCCCTGCTGCACTCTTTTGTCCTGTGAACCCTTAAAAAAGCCTCTCTTTTTTCTGCATACCTCTTAATTCGAAGGATCAGCTGGTCTCTCAACAAAATTGATCAACTTCTCCTGACAGGAGTCAGGGTAAGAAGGACCCTCTTACTTTGACGGAAACAATTGGATTTATGGTGAGAACTGGTTTTTGTTGTTTGGGTTGGTGAAATCTGGATTGTCTACAAATTCGTGTGGATGTGTTGAAGTTCGACAGTGCTCGGACTGAATGTGGGAAGCTGTGACAGGGAGTTGGAGCAGCTGTTATCAGGACTGTGATCTTCCTGGCAGCACTCATGAATGGTGGGAATAATCTGGAGAAGCTGTGAGCTCGACTTTTGGAGTAAAGGATCAATTTGGCTGTTTTTGAGTTTCCATCAGAGAATATGTACAGCAAGACTTTAAAGGCAGAAACAACAATTAACGCGTTCTGCCTGACCCAAACTGTGGCCTTGATGCCGGACTTATCTCAACATCTCCTGGAATGTTTTGAAAACAACAAAGATGCTCTGACTGTTTCCTCACTCCTCCCTTCCCCAAGGCTGTGGACATGTAACAGAACCTCAACTGAGCTGAAGATGAATGTCACCTCTTATCTGGACAATGACAGGGGGGGCTCTGGACTATGCTACGTCTTTCCCTTAAAAATTAAATGTCTTCACTGGCCTATATGTGCATGTATAATGTCTGTTTATGTTTCTTTGCTGTGGTAGATTTTTTTGATGCCTCAAATTGTGCCCTGTCTAGGACACGGTGTGAGAGATCTTTTTTTTATACAGTCTCTCCTCATGTTTTCTTTCCTTTTCTCATCTATTCAAAATATTATTCTGAATAAGAATAAGAGGGCCGCGCTAATTATTTTTAGCCGCAGCTTCGTGCACTCCGCCTATCTTCGGACGACTGAATTTACATATTTGTGTTGTATCTCGGTGCAATACCAATAAAGTTTATTCTGACTCTGATTCTGATTCTTGTCATGGAGGAGGTAGAAAAGAGAGCCTTGACGTCCTTTTTAGGGACACCACCAAGTCATTGGTTCAGGTATGTTGATGACACCTTGGTTTAAAATAAATCTCAGGAAGTCCAACATTTTACTGATCACATCAACTATGTGGATAAATATATACAGTTCACTTGAGAAAATGTAAAAAATAGCAGGTTGGCTTTCTTTCCTGTAGGTGGGGCACGCTGGCCAGCGCCTGGTGGCCGGGCTTTTACCCATGGAGCCTGGCCGGGTACAGCCAAAGAGGAGACATGGGTCCCCCTTCCCATGGGCTCACAACCTGTGGGAGGGGCCAAAGGGGTCAGGTGCAATGTGGGATGGGTGATGGCCAAGGGTGGAGACCCTGGCCGTCTGATTCTTGGCTACAGAAGCTGGCTATTGGGACATGGAATGTCACCTCTCTGGTGGAGAAGGAGCCTGAGCTGGTGTGTGAGGTTGAGAGGTTATGTCTAGAAATAGTCGGACTCACCTCGACACATGGCTCTGGCTCTGGAACCAGTTTCCTTGAGAGGAGTTGGACACTCTTCCACTCTAGAGTTGCCCCTGGCGAGAGGTGCCGAGCAGGAGTGGGCACACTTGTTGCCCCCCATCTTTGTGCCTGTACGTTGGGGTTCACCCCAGTGAACGAGAGGGTAGCTTCCCTTCGCCTACGTGTGGGGGGATGGGTTCTGACTGTTGTTTGTGCTTATGCGCCAAACAGCAACTCATATTACACACCCTTTTTGGAGTCCTTAGAGGTGGTACTGGACAGTGCGCCTCCTGGGGGCTCTCTGCTGGGGGACTTCAACGCTCACGTGGGCAATGACAGTGAGACCTGGAGGGGTGTGATTGGGAGGTACGACCCCCCTGATCTGAACCAGAGTGGTGTTCTGTTGTTGGACTTCTGTGCTCATCATGGATTCTCCATAACGATCACCATGTTCAGGCATAAGGCTGTCCATATGTGCTCTTGACACCAGGACACCGTAAGCCGCAGTTCTATGATTGACTTTGTTGTCTCATCTGACCTGCGGCCGCATGTGTTGGACACTCGGGTGAAGAGAGGGGCAGAGCTGTCCACTGACCACTACCTGGTGGTGAGTCGGCTTCGATGGTAGGGGAGAATGCCGATCAGACCTGGCAGACCCAAATGTATTGTGAGGGTCTGCTGGGAACACCTGGCAGAGTCTCCCATAAGGCGGAGCTTTAACTCCCACCTTCGGGAGAGCTGCAAACACAATCTGGGGAGGTGGGGGAGATTGAGTCCGAGTGGGCCATGTTCCACGCCTCTATTGTCGAGGCGCCTTATCAGAGCTGTGGCCGCAAGGTTGTTGGTGCCTGTCGCGGCGGTAACCCTCGAACCCAGTGGTGGACACCAGCAGTGAGGGATGCTGTCAGGCTGAAGAAGGAATTCTATCGGGTCTTTTTGGCCTGTGGGACCTCGGATGCAGCTGATGGGTACCAGCAGTCCAAGCGGCATGCGGCTCGGGTGGTCGCTGAGGCAAAAACTCAGGCATGGGAGGAGTTTGGAGAGGCCATGGAGAATGACTTCCATATGGCTTCAAGGAGATTCTGGTCCACCATCCGGCGTCTCGGGGGGGAGGGAAAGCGGTATGCCACAACACTATTTATAGTAGAAGTGGTGTGCTGCTGACCTCAACTCGGGATGTCGTGGGTCAGTGGGCAGAATACTTCAAAGACCTCCCCAAATCCACCAGCATGTCTTCCACTGAGGAAACGGAGTCTGAGGACTTTGCGTTGGGCTCTCCAATCTCTGGTGCTGAGGTCACCGAGGTGGTTAAAATGCTCCTCGGTGGCAGGGCCCCAGGGGTGGATGAGATTCGCCCGGAGTTCCTTAAGGCTCTGGATGTTGTGGGGTTGTGTTGGCTTATGTGACTCTGCAATATTGCGTGGACATCGGGGGCAGTTCCCCTGGATTGGCAGACTGGGGTGGTGGTCCCCCATTCAAAAACGGGGACCCTACAGTGTCTTCCAAATACAGGGAATCACGCTCTTAAGCCTCCCTGGTAAGGTCTATTCAGGGGTTCTGGAGAGAAGGGTCCGTCGGATATTCGAACCTTTGATTCAGAAACATTGTACTAGCTCTACACCCTCGGCAGGGTCCTGGAGGGTGTGTGGGAGTTTGCCCAACCAGTCTACATGTACTTTGTGGACTTTGAGAAGGCATTCGACTACGTCCCTCAGGGAATCCTGTGAGGGTACTCCTGGCATATGGGATACTAGACCCTTTGATATGGGCTGTTAGGTCCCTGTACGACCGGTGTCAGAGCTTGGTCTACATTGCCAGCAGTAAGTCGGGCTCGTACCCAGTGAGAGTTGGACTCTGCCAAGGTTGTCCTTTGTCACCGATTCTGTTCATAACTTTTATTGACAGAATTTCTAAGTGCAGCGAAAGTGTTGAGGGGATCCGTTTTGGTGACCTTAGGATTATTTATCTTGTTTGTTGCAGATGTTTTGGTCCTATTGGCTTCATCAAGTCATGATCTACAGCTTTCGATGGAGCGGTTTGCAGCCGAGTGTGACGCGGCCAGGATGAGGATCAGTTCCTCCAAATCATAGGCCATTGTCTTGAGCCGTAAAAGGGTAGAGTGCCCTCTCTATGTCGGGGAGGAGGTCCTGCCCCAAGTGGAGGAGTTTAATTATCTCGGGGTCTTGTTCATGAATGAGAAAAATGGAGCGTGAGATCAATAGGCGGATAGGTGCAGCTTCGGCAGTGAAGCGGGTGCTATACCAGTCTGTCGTGGTGAAGAGAGAGCTGAGTCAAAAGGCGACGCGCTCAATTTACCGGTCAATCGATGTTCCTACCCTCATCTATGGTCATGAGCTTTGGGTTGTGACCGAAAAAACGAGATCACGGATACAGGCGGCCAAAATGAGTTTTCTCCGCAGGGTATCTGGGCTCTCCCTTAAAGATAGGGTTTGAAGCTCAGGCATTTGGGAGGGACTCAGAATAGAGCCGTTGCTTCTCTACATCGAGAGGAGCCAGTTGAGGTGGCTCAGGCATGTGGCTAGGATGCCTCCTGGACGCCTCCCTGGTGAGGTGTTCCGGGCACGTCCCACCGGGAGGAAACCCAGAGGAAGACCCAGGACACGCTGGAGGGACTATATTTCTCGGCTGGCCTGGGAACTCCTTGGGATTCCCCTAGAGGAGCTGGCCCAAGTGACTAGGGAAAGGAAAGTCTGGGCCTCCCTACTTAAGCTGCTACCCTCGCGACCCGACCCCAGATATGCGGAAGAAAACGGATGAAATGGCTTTCTTGGACGGTGAGTTCTCAGTTCCTGATGGAGGACATTTGCAAACTGAGGTGTACCAAAAACCCACCCACACAGATCAGTATTTGCAGTTTGACTCCCATCACCCTTTGGAGCACAAGTTGGGAGTCATCAGGACTCTGTACCACAGAGCAGACAGCATCCCCACTAACTCAGGAGCCAAGCAGAAGGACAAATTCCGCACAAGACCGGGTCTAGAGAAATATGGATATCCTAACTGGGCCTTCCTGAAAGCAGGGACAAAACCCAAACAGGACTCCAGTCAGCTATCGTGTGAAAAGGAGGAACCCAGACCCAGACCAGTGGTCATTCTGTATGTTGCAGAATTTTCAGAGAAACTGAGACGTTTATTTTCTAAACACAACGTCCCAGTCGCTTTTAAATCCCAAAACACATTACGGCAAAGACTGGTTCAGCCCAAAGATCCAGACCCCGGCACAAACAGAGTAATATTGCGTATGCTATACAGCAGGTGTGCCCAACCAGTCGCTCGCGGGCGACCGGTCGCCCGCGAAGCGAAGCCTTGACTTGTATTCTCACAGACATAGTCTCGCGAGTTTTGGGTGCGGTGACACAGTGCTCTCACGAGACTTTAGGCTCAGTAGTTAATGTCGGTGCGCAGAAAACATGCATGGAAAACTAGCGAACAAGCAAACAAAAACATTATTTTCACACAGAGTGGGAGGAGGAGTATTTTTTTGTTTATTCTAATTCAAAGTCTATTTGCCTCATCTGTAATTCGAGCGTTGCCTTACCCAAAAAGTGTAACTTGGAGCGGCATTTTAAGACGATGCACAAACGGTTTGAGACAGATTTCCCTCTTAAAAGTTCTTTACGGACTCAGAAAGTGCGGGAGCTAAAAAACAAGCTTGCAGCCCAGCAGTCAGTCTTCACTCACCCCAGCACAAAAGGTAAAGCTGCTACGATAGCTTCCTACCGTGTTAGCCGCATCCTGGCTCAACATAAGAAGTCTTTCAGCGATTGACAAGTTATGAAAGAAGTGTTTATTGAGGCTGCAGATGCGCTTTTTCATGATTTTAAAAATAAAAGTGAGATCGTAGCTGCTATTAAAGACGTGCAGTTGTCCAGACAAACAGTGACACGGCGATGTGAGGGAATGGCTGTGGATGTGGAGGAGCAGCTAAAAAAGGACGTGGAAGAATGCGAGTGTTTCTCTCTTCAGTTTGATGAGTCGACAGACATGGTGGATGTAGCCCAGCTGTGTGTTTTTATCAGAATGGCCTTTGCAGACATGAGTGCAAAAGAGGAGCTGCTCACCATCTTGCCTTTGAAGGGACATACAAGAGGAGAAGATATTTTTAATGCGTTTATGGAGTTTGTTAATAAAAGCAACTTGCCCCTCTTTAAACTAATTTCTATAACAACTGATGGCGCTCCAGCAATGACTGGTCACACCAGTGGATTTGTTGCACTCTGCAAGCAGAATGATGCTTTCCCAGACATTTTGCACTATCACTGCATCATCCACCAACAGGCCCTGTGTGGGAAGATTTTAAACATCAAGGAAGTGATGGATGTTGCCATGAAAACTGTGTGCTCTATAAGGGCCAGGAGTCTGCAGAGGAGGTTGTTCCGGGCTCACTTGGAGGAGGCAGGAGCAGACCACACAGACCTGCTGCTGCACATGGACGTCAGGTGGCTAAGCAGAGGTACATTTCTGGACAGATTCAGTGAGCTGTTGCCTGAGATCAGGGATTTTCTGAAGCTGTCAGATCATGGTGAACATTCAAAACTAGAGGACACCCAGTGGCTTTTGGATTTAGCCTTCCTCACAGATCTCACCAGCCTGCTCAATGAACTGAATTTGGAGCTTCAGGGAAAGGACAAAAACATAATCCACATGATCAGTTCTGTGAGCACCTTCAAAAGCAGGCTGCAACTGCTCACAAGTTGGCTGCAACGCAGGGACCTGCAAAACTTCCCACACATGGAGGCAGAGCTACAGCGCCAAGGGAAAGAAGTCCCACAACTGGACAGTGCACACTATTCTAAGCCGGTTCAGAGCATCTCAGCAGAATTTGAGAGACGATTTACTGACTTTTCCTCCATCGAGCCTGTTACCAGCTACATGTGTTATCCTTTTGGAAATGTTGATGTGGATGACATTGTGTCCAAATTGGTGTCCGTTTTTCAGCTGGACAGCTCTGGTGTTGAAAATGAGGTGTTGAGTCTGCAAAATGACATTGGGATCAAATCCAGAGCATCACCTGGCGTGGATGGAGAGTTCTGGAGTCTGCTGTCAGAAGAAAAGTATCCTAACATCCGAAGATGTGCTTTGAACTTAACAGCACTTTTTGGATCTACCTACCTGTGTGAGTCTGCTTTTTCACACATGAAAATCATCAAGTCCAAAAACAGATCCACAATGAATGATGATCATCTGGAGACCTGCCTGCGCCTCGCAACCACCTCATACAGCCCATCTTATGAGACCCTGGCCTCCTCCTCTCAGTGTCAGAAGTCCCACTAAGGTAGAGACACATTTATTTTATACAGCTTGCATAAAAAGTTGTCTCCTATAGACACATCACGTTCTGTTTTATTTACTTTAAAGAAGTGAGGAGTAGGGATTGATGAAAAATGATGTTTGTTGATAATGAGACTGGACGAGTAGCTCTCGGCAAATTGCCGACTTCAAAAGTAGCTCTTGGTTCAAAAAAGGTTGGGCACCCCTGCTATACAGTGTCAGGAGGGCTGTGGTCAGTCTTACATCGGGGAAATTTAACAGCCACTGGCCAAAAGGATGGCCCAGCACAGAAAAGCAACATCATCAGGCCAGGATTCTGCGGTCTTCACTCATCTCCAAGCCAGTGGCCGCTTTTTAAGGGATGAAGATGTTCACATCCTTGATAGATAGGAACGGTGGTTTGAGAGAGGAGTAAAGGAGGCCATCTTTGTGAAAAGAAACCGTCCATCATTAAACAGGGGTGGAGCCTCCAGGTTCAACTGTCCCCCTCTTACAATGCTGTGATTGCTAGTATCACTCAGCCCTCTGTGAATAGTAAACAGCCATCAGGTGCTAATGATCCATTGTTAGGCTGATGGTCCTTCTTGAGCATGTGATCAGCTGGTTTTGACTGTCGGTAGCAAACTGGTTGATCCACTATGAGAAGGTTCTATTTATAAGACTGAGCTTAACAAAGCACTGCAGACTGAAGAAGTCTTTCGGATGAAAGACGAAACGTTTCTACATTTTTTTTTTTCTGCTTTGTTTTGTTTTTTTGAATGTCCAGAGGACTAGACTTAACTTTTTTAGATTTTTCTACCTGGATTATTGAGCATGTATCAGGATATTCCTCTAAAGATTTTCTCAGACCTGGTGGTACATCATTACAGTTAACACATTTAAGTTTTTGCTCCGTCTATGATTTGTTGAGTAATAACAAAAGTACATTATAATCTTTCTCCCAGTTTTTACTGTTTGATTAACCGATGCATCTGAAACAGAATAAATATTTATTTTTCTGTGTTTCCTATTTCTTCTTCCTTCTCCACCTGCTTTCCTTTCATCAGGATGAACTGGCTTTGGCAAATCATGGATACTCCAAGCCCAGCACTCCCACTAATCAGGGAAATCACCCTAAAACTGGAATGCCTGTTTCTTCAAATAGTAGACAGTCCAAAGCCAACACTTTCATGTCCTCTCCGGGTGGTACCTCTAAATCAAACATGACCACATCTACACATAGTGGTTATTCTCAGCCCGACACATCGTTATCTCTTCCCGTTGTGTCCAGTGGTGGACAAGGGGCCGCCTCTTCTGCACAGCTGTTTGCAGCTCCTTCTGATGTTGTCATGGAGTCTGTAGACACACCTCTACGGAGACAGGAAACTTCAGGTGGGCTCAGCAAAAACCTCAACTTGAAGAGTGGTAATCCAGACAACAAGAACAACATGGGAGCAGTGCAAGAAGAACAAGAGTCCAACCAAGGAGTCACAATGACTGCACCAAAAAGTGAAGGTGACCCTTTGATTTTCAACTCCTTGTGTTTACACTCCATAAGACCAGCTGTATTTAACTTGCACTTGGACTAAAAACAGTCTTTCAATTGTTAATTTCCCCGATGAGACTTTGTGTATTTGTAAACATTAAGTTAAGAACTGTGTTGTTAGATGGAGCAGAAAAGGTGGAGAAGTCTGAGGTTCAGGCTATCATTGAGTCTACCCCTGAGCTAGACATGGACTTTGATGGCTGCAGAGGAACCAGGTATGGGACTCTTTGGAGAACAGTCAAGAATGTATAGCTTGACGTATTTATTAACATTTTAATAATTTTCTTCATTTTCAAATGGATTTTTTTTTAAATAAGGGGTTTATGGATCGTTTTTATCAATTATTTAATCTAACACAAGACAACAGTTGTGATCAGAACTAAAATTCAACCACTAAATGTAGTAGGAGGATCAAGTTCAAGTTATTTTATGATTATTCGCATTACATGTAGTACATTAGGCGGAACGAAATTGTGTACTCAGGGTCCCAGTTACACCCAAAAATATCAAAACTATAAAGTATAAAAAGAGACATTATATAAAGATCTAAGGTATACACTAAACACTAATCACGTAATTACATATGTAATACATTAGTCCCTCACTACTTTGTGGTTCATTAATTGCGTACTCGCTCTATTGCAGTTTTTCAAATTAAGATTGGACATGACACACAATTGGCTGATTGATGGCTGAGCCGCACAATCAGCATGGAATTTTAATTGAATAAATTAGTTTAAAATATTAAGCACCTGCTGCACAGGTCTGTGTGTACCCCACAGCTGCAGGAGAAGCTCCCTCCTGCAGTGTGTCATATCTCTGCTTTGCAGCGGAGAAGTGGGCATGGCCGAGAGCAGCGGAGGCAGCGAGGGAGATCATGACATGCTGTGCTCTTTTAGAGCTTTTAGAATTTAGAAACTTTTTTTTAGAATATTGCAAGTGTGAAGGTTTTAAAACACCTTTATATATATATACAGTGAGGAAAATAAGTATTTGAACATCCTGCGACTTTGCACATTCTCCCACTTGGAAATCATGGAGAGGTCTGAATCTTTCATCTCGGATGCATGTCCACTGTGAGAGGCATAATCTAAAAGAAAAATCCGGAAATCACAATGTATGATTTTTTTAATAATTTATTTGTGTGTTACTGCTGAAAATAAGTATTTGAACACCTGTGAAAATTAATGTTAATATTTGGTACAGTATCTTTGTTTGCAGTTACAGAGGTCAAAGGTTTCCTGTAGTGTTTCAGCAGGTCTGCACACACTGCAGCAGAGATGTTGGGCCATTCCTCCACAGATCTTCTCTAGATCAACCAGGTTTCTGGGCTGTCACTGAGAAACAGAGTTTGAGCTCCATCCAAAGATTTTCTATAGGGTTTAGGTCTGGAGACTGGCTAGGCCACTCCAGAACCTTGAAATGCTTCTTACGGAGCCACTCCTTGGTTCTCCTTGGTTCTCCTGGCTGTGTGCTTCGGGTCATTGTCTTGTTGGAAGACCCAGCCATGACTCATCTTCAATGCTCTAACTGATTGTGTGGGGTGGACCGGTGTCTTTATGCAGCTACCGACCTCACACAGGTGCTTCTAATTTAGATTAATAAGTGGAGTGGAGGTGGACGTTATAGAGGAGGACTAACAGGTCTTTGAGGGCCAGAACTGTTGCTGATTGGCAGGTGTTCAAATACTTATTTGCAGCAGTAACAGACAAATGAATTATTTAAAAAAAATCATACATTGTGATTTCCGGATTTTTCTTTTAAATTATGTCTCTCACAGTGGACATGCACCTAAGATAAAAAATTTAGACCCCTCCATGATTTCTAAGTGGGAGAACTTGCAAAGTCGCAGGGTGTTCAAATACTTATTTTCCTCACTGTATGTATATATATATATATATATATATATATGCACTAAAATGAACTACTAACTACTTGTACTACTATTGCTACGTCACGGTTTTTCACTTATTGCAGGGCTTCAGGGTACAGGGTACTTTCGGATGAAAGACGAAAACGAAACGTTTCTACCTTTTTTGCTTTGTTTTGTTTTTTGAATGTCCAGAGGACCAGACTTAACTTTTTTTAGATTTTTCTACCTGGATTATTGAGCATGCATCAGGATATATATGGTAAGTATATTAAATAAGTAAGTCAAAGAGAATTAGTACATTAGTAGAAATTAAAGATGTTCCAGTCTTTTTGAAATGGGGTTTTGTGGAAAAGTTATATAAAAGTATATCCTACTTGTTGTAGGTTGCTTCTTGAATGACCTCAGTTTTGAGGTGGAGTTTAGCTCTAACAGGACTGACAATTCAAAGTTTGATAAACTCTTTTCTACTCATCGCATACAAGTTAAGTGTTGAGTTTCAACCCTTGTTTTCAGGTTCAAAGTTGAGTTGTGTGAATTTGGCATTAAATCTGTTTTCTTTTAAATAAATAAGCGACATATACACTTCCTCTCATCACAGAGCAACGATTCAATGGGTTTGCTGGCGTCCTTGGATAGAGAACTTTACTAATTGGCTTTTCTATATACAGTGCCTTGCGAAAGTATTCTCCCCCCTTAAACTTTTCAACCTTTTGCCACATTTCAGGCTTCAAACATAAAGATATAAAATTTTAATTTTTTGTGAAGAATCAACAACAAGTGGGACACAATCGTGAAGTGGAATGAAATTTATTGGATGTGTCAAACTGTTTTAACAAATAAAAACTGTAAAGTGGGGCGTGCAATATTTTTGGGCCCCCTTGCGTTAATACTTTGTAGCTCCGCCTCTTGCTGCAGTTCCAGCTGCAAGTCTCTTGGGGTTTGTCTCCATCAGTTTTGAACATGGAGACACTGAAGTTCTGCCCATTCTTCCTGCAGAACAGCTGGAGCTCAGTGAGGTTGGATGGAGAGTGTTTGTGAACAGCAGTCTTCAGCTCTTTCCACAGATTCTCGATTGGATTCAGGTCTGGACTTTGACTTGGCCATTCCAACACCTGGATACGTTTATTTGTGAACCATTCCATTGTAGATGTGTCTTTATGTTTTGGATCATTGTCTTGTTGGAAGATAAATCTCCGTCCCAGTCTCAGGTCTCTTGCAGACTCAAACTGGTTTTCTTCCAGAATGGTCCTGTATTTGGCCCCATCCATCTTCCCATCAATTCTGACCATCTTCCCTGTCCCTGCTGACGAAAAGCAGGCCCAAACCATGATGCTGCCACCACCATGTTTGACAGTGGGGATGGTGTGTTCAGGGTGATGAGCTGTGTTGCTTTTACTCCAAACATATCGTTTTGCATTGTGGACAAACAGTTTGATTTTGGTTTCATGTGACCAGAGCACCTTCTTCCACATGGTTGGTGTCTCCCAGGTGACAAACTTTAAACAACACTTTTTATGGATATCTTTGAGAAATGGCTTTCTTCTTGCCACTCTTCCATAAAGACCAGATTTGTGCAGTGTACGACTGATTGTTGTCCTATGGACAGACTCTCCCACCTCAGCTGTAGATCTCTGCAGTTCATCCAGAGTGATCATGGGCCTCTTGGCTGCATCTCTGATCATCTTCTCCTTGTTCCAGATGAAAGTTTAGAGGGACGGCCAGGTCTTGGTAGATTTGCAGTGGTCTCATACTCCTTCCATTTCTATATGATTGCTTGCACAGTGCTCCTTGGGATGTTTAAAGCTTGGGAAATCTTTTTGTATCCAAATCTGGCTTTAAACTTCTCTACAACAGTATCTCGGACCTGCCTGGTGTGTTCCTTGGTCTTCATGATGCTCTCTGCGCTTTGAACAGAACCCTGAGACTATCACAGAGCAGGTGCATTTATACGGAGACTTGATTACACACAGGTGGATTCTATTGATCATCATCAGTCATTTGGGACAACATTGGATCATTCATAGATCCTCACTGAACTTCTGGACTGAGTTTGCTGCACTGAAAGTAAGGGGCCCAATAATACTGCACATCACACTTTTCAGTTTTTATTTGTTAAAACAGTTTGACACGTCCAATAAATTTCATTCCACTTCACGATTGTGTCCCACTTGTTGTTGATTCTTCACAATAAATTAAAATTGTATATCTTTATGTTTGAAGCCTGAAATGTGGCAAAAGGTTGAAAAGTTCAAGGGGGTCGAATACTTTCACAAGGCACTGTATATGAATGCTTCTGCACAGTGCCCTGAGACAATTTTGTATGAATTGGTTCTATATAAATAAAATGAACTGAATTGAATAGAGCTGCAGAAGCAGCTTTACACAGCTTGAGAAACAAGCCATGCTGGTCTTAGCGCTTGACATGTTCGTGAACTGCTGCCAGACGAACAAATTAAAGTGATGAAAAAAATCATGGTACAGTCAACCTGTTACAAAACCACGTAACAGGCTGGTTTTAAAGGGGGAGGGTGGGTTTGCAAGACAGTTTTCAACTCTACGAGAAATCGTGTTTTTTTAGTCTTGAGAGATATTGTGCCACCCGTAGGATTCACAGGAATTGCTGCGAAAATGTGAAGATTTTGCTTTTAAGACTTCAAAGTCTGCATCATAAGTGTTTGCTCAGACTAGCCATTGAGCTCATCAATGCAGTCTAAACAGGGTTACATTCAGAGGATTGTTGCCACACCCCTAAAACGACACCAATCTTCTATTTTTTTTTTTTAGTTCATGCAAACACTTGTATCAAAAACATTTGAGTAAACCACTACAAGATATTTGAGATTGGAGTAGATAAGCTAGAAAGTTCCTGGAGAAACTGACGGGGACTGACACATGTTAGCCATTTAAAATTTTGATATGACAATATTATGTGTTGGTGTTCGCTCTCAGCTTACATTATTCTAAATTTCAGCTTAAAATATCAAATTATCAGTGAGTTAGTCATTTTTTTCTTTTAAGCTATGGTGGCCTTTGTGGATTTTTGATTTGGATTCAAGATGTGATGGTGAAGGTTCTCAGCTATAACCACACCAAATTTCAGCTTTACATGTGTAGAAATAGCTGAGTTAAAGACATTTAAATTGTACTTTGGTGGCCATCTTGGATTTCTTTAAATGCATAATTTATTGGGCATTGCCCTCAGCTACTGTCACACCAAATTTCAGCTTAATATCTGTAGAAATGGCTGATTTACTGTATCTTTCCTTTTTAGCTCAGACGGCCATCTTGGATATTTGATTTGCAACCAGTCTCTATGAAAGTTGACTAATAAAAATGGCGTATTTGTTTGCACATTACATTGCCATGGTAACTCGAAACACCAGTAAAAGCAATAGCATACATCACGGTGCTAAGCTGGTTGTTTTGATATAACATTTTGTTATAACACATTGCGCTTTGGGCTGCATTAAAGTTGACAGAAGAGTAAGATATAAAGTTAAGAAACCTTTGTCAGGTGGCTAATAGATGACTGCCTTACTAGGCAGTCCCCAATAATGTTATTAACTTAAATTTATGTATGTGAATGTTTCTGTACAGTGCCCTGAGATGACTTGTGTTGTGACTTGGCGCAATATAAATGAACTGAAATGAACAGAATTGAATTATAAGACCGCAGAAATCCACTTTGGTCTTCGTTGCATTTGGACTAAATGATAGCTCCTAAAACTTGTTGGACATGAAATTTTTTCAGTACAATGAAGCCGTTCAAAGAGCCATCTACAACAGGTAAAATAATGGTTAAAGATTTTACACACACAAAAAAAACCACTTAGAAATTGCTGTATTATCCCTTTCAGTTTTTGAGATGATCACTTTGGTGCTCACCTCACAACTTTTGTTTTTCTGTGTTCAGTCAGGCTTTGTTTCATGCTGGTTTCTTTGAAATGTGTCAAAAACAAGCTTAAAGTTGATTTGTCTGAAAATCATTCTTATCATTACGTTTCACATTTTCTGAACGTTCTTTCCTGCCCCCCCAGTACTCCAACTAAAGATGGCATAGAGAATCTGGCATTCAACCGCAACACAGACTCTTTGTTTGAGGAGCTGTCGTCTGCAGGAAATGACCTCGTAGGAGACGTGGATGAAGGAGCTGACCTACTGGGTAAGAAGCCTTGGTCTCATATTATAGGATTTAGTCTTTTTTTTTTTTTTTATCTTTATTTTTCACAAATTTCACTGAAGTTTTCTGAATGTCTTTTCTTTGGCTTTTGGGCTTTAACTTCTTCACAGATGAGTTTTCTGGTGTGTATCAGTTCCTTGTTGTCTTTGTGCCTCTGATTATATTTATGTTGTTCTTCCTGTTGTAGTTATTCTTACAGTTTTATTCATTTATTAGTAGTACAGTGTTGTGAAGGACAGAAATACTGTAGATCTGAAATGTTCAAACTACACATTTTGCCAGATTTTGATAAACCTTCCTATCATCCTCTGCATGATTCTCAGACAACAACGTTTTAGGTAAGTTTGTTTACATGGAAAGGCAGAGATAGAATGATTAAGATATTTGAATGTTTGTAGTGAAGAGGTGATAACAAAGTGGTTTTAGCCTAATATGTTTGATCTTTTTCAGGTATGGGTCGAGAGGTTGAACACCTCATCCACGAGAACACCCAGCTGCTGGAAACGAAGTTGGTATTTATTTTAATCTCTGAAACAGTTTGCTCCTTTTTTTACACATAAGACAAAAAAGTAATTTAAAAATCGTAAATTTAAAATGTATTTGAATAAATGTATATTTAATATTGGTATTTTTGTGCTTGCTGCTATTTGATTAGTCTAAAATAGATTGTGAAATTGATACAAGTAGCGGAAGAAGGCTCATATTTACCCTCCAAGCTGCTAATGAGTTTAGGCCAAACAGTTCAAAATTTCAAGGTTATAAAACTGGGGAGTTCCCCATAAGGCAAGATGTTTTCAGGGGCTCTTTTGTTACACTTGTACAACAAATGGAAAAACTGAAGTGATTAAGAACAGTCGAGCAGTGGGTGGTGGGCAGTGAAAATCTGTAAATGATCGATCACGGCTCAACAACGAGCAACGCAGTAGTTAGAATTGTCACCAGGTTTGCCACGTGGCCTTTCTGGGTGTAGATGACATTCTCCCTATTTATGCGTGGGTTTTCTTTGAGTACTTTGGTTTCCTCCATTTGAACAAAAACATGCATGTTGGGTTAATTGGTAACTCTAAAATAGGTGTGAATGGTTGTTTGTTTTTGTGTGCCTGTGATGGGATTGGAACCTCTCCAGGCTGTGGTCTGAACCAGAGCCCTATAAAGAGAGAGTTGCGACACTCCCGTAGACTCCCGTATACTCCCATAGAAAGAATGGAATGCTGAAGTCACGTGGGTCATGCAGCGGCAAAAAGTTCCAAACAGCAGCGGTTCAGCATTGAACGTAGTTCATTCTCCGTGTTTTTCTGGTAAGTTGATGCAAATACGACACTTTTTCTCCATAGTGAAGCGTTATCTGACTGTTCTGTACCACAATTTATCAACATTAATACTTCATGTCGCCAGTTTTAGTTAATGAAACATGTTAAATTGCTAGTTGTGTTTTAACTGCAGCTGCTCTGCAACATGACGGTTTAAACGGGTCTATTTCTAATTCAACGTTTTAAAATATCTATTACTGCTTAAATTTTGAAAGGTGGTCTTTTTTAAATTTATGGTAATTCCAGTTACTGAACTCAACTAGAAAATATTTGGTCTTTTTTCCTGAGAGATTCATTCAACCTTTATTTCTGCAGTAAATCCCATTGAGCCTCGAGGACTCATTTACAAGAGAGACCTGATTTAACAAAGAACGATGACAACATGACAACAAGATTGATGTAATTTAGTTAAAGTTATAGATCATTTGTCAAAGACTGCAGCATAAATTGTGACATTATCATTAAAGAAAAACATGATTGTAGAGATGAGTCAATGTTTTCATGTTTTCCAGGTGAACCAGAGGAGAATGACTTCATGAACTGAATGTTGCATTCAAAGTATCACAAAGGTACAAGATCTCATTTTCTGTCTTCTATTAATCAATAACAGCTGAATCAAGATGTTTGAATAAAATTACTTTAACACCATAACCTTCACAAAGTTAGTATTTACTGCAGGACTGTTCATTGACATTAGTTTTATATTATTAGTTTAGTGTTTGGTAATCATGGGTCAAGTTGAGATGAGACTCTTTCAAGACAGAACAAGAAATAAGAATTATTACAAGAATAAATCAGCATCAATAAACTGTAGGACAGTAACAAAACAACTTATTAAACTATCACAGGTACATTGAGATGGAGCTGGAAGTTCTTCTTCATGACAGTTGTCTTCATCTGCTCTTTTATAAAAATATGACAATTTATTTTCCATTGACATTTTTCTTGAGTTAATTTTCTTGTCTGTGAGTTTCTTCTGTCCTACTTATGTTTTTTTGTTCTAATTGTTCCCTCAGGTTGTTCATCTCTGTTCCCTGACTGCCTGTTGATCCATCCTCCTGGTCCTGTTGATCCATCCTCCTGGTCCTGTTGATCCTGGATCATCAGATCCTGACATGTCCCCGTCCTCTGAGGACACATTTTCATCTGTCCCTCATCTCACTCGCCTCATTTCTGTTTCTTCCTCAGTCTCTGAAATTACAACGTCACTGTTAGAATGAAGATTATTGTTCAATAAAAATATGACATGAATTATTTAACACTGTTCGTACCAAAGTTTAATCTAGAACAACATGTGTGATCACTGGTCAGGTCACTGGTCAGATCACTGGTCAGGTCACTGGTCAGGTCACTTGTCAGATCACTGGTCAGATGACTGGTCAGATCACTGGTCAGATGACTGGTCAGATCAATGGTCAGGTCACTGGTCAGGTCACTGGTCAGATCACTGGTCAGATCACTGGTCAGATGACTGGTCAGGTCACTGGTCAGATGACTGGTCAGATCACTGGTCAGGCCACTGGTCAGATCACTGGTCAGGTCACTGGTCAGATCACTGGTCAGGTCACTGGTCAGTGGAGGTTCTGCTGTTCTTCTCATCTGGTTCTGGTCCATGAACAACTGGTTGAACCTCCTTCAGTCTCACTCGTCCTCACTGTGTCTCTGTCTCACACGTCCTCACTGTGTCTCTGTCTCACTCGTCCTCACTGTGTCTCTGTCTCACACGTCCTCACTGTGTCTCTGTCTCACTCATCTTCACTGTGTCTCTGTCTCACATGTCCTCACTGTCTCTGTCTCACACGTCCTCACTGTGTCTCTGTCTCACACGTCCTCACTGTGTCTCTGTCTCACACGTCCTCACTGTGTCTCTGTCTCACTCGTCCTCACTGTGTCTCTGTCTCACACGTCCTCACTGTGTCTCTGTCTCACTCGTCCTCACTGTGTCTCTGTCTCACACGTCTTCACTGTGTCTCTGTCTCACTCGTCCTCACTGTGTCTCTGTCTCACTCGTCCTCACTGTGTCTCTGTCTCACACGTCCTCACTGTGTCTCTGTGAACTGTCCTCTCTCTAAATGTGCCTGTAGAGTGACATTAGTTTATTTTCTTGCACATTTCTTTGACAGTTCAACATTTTGAGCCCTGATTGAAAATGTTTGTGCAGATTAAATTTACAGCTCTCACTTTGTGTTGTTGTGATGATGATGATGGTGCTCCTGCTGACTTGAGATGATGTCATTAATAAACAGTATAAATAGTAGTAAAAGTACTTTATTAAAGCTTGCTTTACATTTTACATATTTTATAATAAATTGTTTGGAAATTAATTTTTGCACAGTTAACACTTATTTTGTCATCTGTTATGATTTTAACTAGAAACAGTTTAATTTAAATGAACATTTTAATCAATGAATTACAGTTTTACAATAGTTGTCAGGCTACAATCAGCTCAGTTATCAGGTACTTGGTGCCATAAAAAAACGACAAATACAACAATTATATTCAGTCTCTCTTGTAAATGAGTCCTCGTGGCTCAATGGGACGAACCTGTTTAAATAAAGGTTGAATTAATATCTTCTATAGAAATCAAGAATTCATCCAGATGATCTGAGGTAAGCTGGAGCAGATCTGAACTGCATGGAGGACAAGGTGGAGCATTATCCTGCAGAGTACATCAGAATAACTTTATAACAGGAGTTACTCTGATCTTTTTTTAACATTATAAAACACTGGCATGGCTATATTGATCACTGTATTGCATATACTTTTTTTTTTTTAACAAATATGTGTTTGCAGTCTCTTTCCTTCTAAAATTTTATGATAAATGTATCAGCCGCTTCTAACAATGCTTTGATAAAATGCATAGTCTGTGAAATAATCAGTAATCATTTCGTTACTGCTCAATAATTACTGAAAGACGTCAGGTAAAGTAAGAAAAGTCGAATTTTGTGTTGTGTTGCGCCAGCAGCCACTCAAACTGACTGACAGGATGAACTGTTTGGAACTATTGGGAGCTGCATGAACCACGTGACCGCTTATCGGCGAGTTCAGAGAGTGTCGCAACTCTCTCTTTATAGGGCTCTGGTCTGAACAATTTTAGCAGGTGATTACACTCATTCAAAGAGCTGTTGCTACAAACACATGAGCTGTTGCTACAAACATCTGAGCTGTTGCTACAAACACCTGAGCTGTTGCTACAAACATCTGAGCTGTTGCTACAAACACCTGA